ATTGGAGGAAGACATTTTGTGTAATAGAATTTTTGGATTTAGAGTGAAAAAATGTGAAAGAGACGAGTTGCAGTCGGGAAATATAAAAGAAAAATTTGACGGACTTCTGACCGATTTCGAACGGCAACAATACGGTTAAAAATTCGTCAGAAATCTGTCAGAAATTTCTAACGGTTTTTGGACCGACCAAATTTGGTCAGAAAATTCTGAAAGTTTTTTGACAAATGTCGGTCCGTCAGAAATTTCTGACCATTTTGAAAATCCGTTAGAAATTCGTCAACAATTTCTAACGACAAAAAATTAGGTCAGAATGCCCGTCAGAAACATCCTATTTTCTTGTAGTCTCCATATGGGTGGTTAATGTCGAAAGTGCCCCTCCTTACTTGACCGAATTAATGACCAATCAAAATCGGTCAAAATTGAATCCTCTGAATTATGTTTATTTCCAAATCGGGAGTGTTCTGTTTTTTCTCTCTCATCCGTGAGATTCGTTTCTTTCTTCTTCTTCGTCGTTATCATTTCTTAGGTGTCGGTTGAATTCGTCCGCTTGGATGCTGAATCATTGAGCTATTGATTCTATTGACAGGGTATGTATCTTAAATCGTTCCTAACTCGTCGTAACTCAATGTTTAGAATCCACCATACACGATCGATTTACAGAGGTTTTTAATTGGACTAGAGTAATTAAGGATCAGAATGTGTGAATGGTCTGTCTATTATGGAATTGGATAATTAACAACTGTAATCATAAGAAAAAGAAAAGATTGAACATCAAGAATCCAAGCTGATAACTATTGAAACGATTTGAAGAGGACGAATAGGTAGAACTAGAAAAGTTTGGAAAGTTGGGAAAAGTTGGAAAAAGTTGGTTACTGACAAAACTGTGTAACAAGATATAACTTCGTATAACTAACATGTTATAACTGTATAACCAGGAATAAATCAGGTATAACTTACTGGTTTAATTTTTTTTTAAATTGTAGATGAGTCTTTTTTCTACAAACATACATTTTGATTATGATGGACATTATTCAAAATCTGAAGATAATTATGAATGGATTCCAACCGATGGTTGTTTGTATGGTATATCCTTTAGGAAATCATCATTGGTGGAAATCACTTATATGTTGTTGAAGGAGAGAATATGCATGAAGATGAGAATATATCCGTTTACGAAGAGGCTGAAATTTGGTTACATTCCACTGGTATGGAACCTAAGAGACAATCATATATTTTGGATGATGAAGATGTGTTTGTTTAGCTAACATCGGTGGATAAAGAACAAACAAGAAGTATTTTTCATGTAGAGGAAACCCAATAATTTGAAATAGCTCAAATAACCGAGCAACTATCGAGAGTTGAGAATGAAATCTCATGTAGTAGGAACAATGGTGAGCGTGAGAGTGGATATGGAGAAGAAGATAATGTGGATACTGGTTTGGAACATAAGGAACACAATGAACGTCCCACAAGAAATAGAAGAGGAGACATTGAAAGGTGAGATTTGTATTTTGTGTTGTGCAACTAAGTGAAACTTTATCCTTTACTGGTATAAGTACGATAGGTAGACTGAGTAATAGGATTGTAAATTTTAAACTTGTTACGAAAGTATTAATAAGATGGTATTTTATGAGTTATTTTGGGTTGTGTTAATTATGATATTATCAGAACAAAAAAAAAATCTCGTTGGTTATTAGTAATCATGATGTCATTACACTGTCTTCTTATATGTTTTTCAATAATATTCACCTTGTCTCATTTGAAATCTTACTATGTAATGAAATCGAGTTTATATATATATGGACAAATGAAAAATGAATCTAGTATACAGAACATAACTGGTATAACCATAAAATCAGTCATTGTAATAGAGTAAAACCAAGATAAATGGAAACAAATATAAAGTACAACTTTGATGTTTTCTGTAAAACTGCAGATTTGGTGAAACTTCAATCACGAAAATACTAGGCTAAAAAATTTCCGCCACCATCTTTTTGAATTTCTAATCTCACTCTTTCCCCCTTCCCAATCCAATTAGTACTAAAATCCATACTTTTGCGTTTTCCCACATTCTCTCTCTTTCCTTTCTCTATCTCTCTCTCTCTCTCTCAACCGAAATCCCCCAATGTCGAACCCAACTACGTCCACTTCATCTTCCACGACCGGTGGTCGGAGACGACGAGTAAGAATTCCGGGGATACCTACGAGGTGTTGGTGCAGGGAGAGCATCAACGAGCTCATCTCCAAATCCGGTCCAAATCCATATCGTCAGTATTATCAGTGTCTCGAGGCGGCAAAATAGAGGGTAACGTCCATTTAGCTTTAGTTATAAAAGGGTTGTTCTCTTAAATATTTTTAACAAAATGTTAGAATGTTGTAGCTCGAGAACGACGATCACGTCTTCAAATGGGTCGATGAAGCTTTCACTGATGAGATTGAACAGTTGGAGTACCAAGTTCAAATCCTAGAAGAAGAAGTTCAATTGCTCAAAGCAACGATAAGCAGTGAAGGTCCCAAAATAATGCCTAAGATAATGATATCAGAATGTTGTGTTGTTAGTATCATCATTATCGTTGTAGTTCTCGGTCGAATTATGATGTACAAGTGATTCCTATAGCTAGTGACTTTGTCAAACATTTTGTTTTGTCTAAGTTTTATGTAATTTATCCGAAGTTAAACATTATGTTTGTCTAAGTTTCTCCTAAGTTTCTCCTAAATTATGCGAACTTAAACTACTACGAAGTATGGTCAATTTAAAAAGTTTCTCAAATGATTACGATGTTGGACAACTGAGAAATTGAACCTAACACAAAATTTGACCTGGTTATATGAACACCAACTTTCAAGTTAAGTTGAACTACTAAAAAGTTTGGTAAACTTAAAATTTTCTCAAATATTTACGATGTTGGACAATTGAGAAATTGAACCTAACACAAATTTGACCTGGTTATACGAACACGGACTTCATGTTAATTTGAAGTTATTCTTAGGTTCACGAACTTGGTCAATTACAAAAGTTAAGAAAACCATTTTTAATACACATTAACGCAGTTCAACATCACTAACCAAGATTAAGAAGCACTAATACATTAGATAAAACCTTATATAGCTCCGTACTTCCGAACATAAGGGTCACTGTTATTACCGATTGTCTGAACTCCTCCCTTCGGCAAGCACAAATTGAACCTGAAGTTAGATAAGTTCCCCTCGGTCGGAAACCATTCTTCTATAGGACAAGAATAAACTGTATATATGAGTTTAGATAAGGTTTTAGTCAACTAATACATTTAAACCTGAACACATAAGCATAAACTTCACTTACAAAAATAGTCGCGGACCCTCCACATCTTAAGGACCACAATCACCTGTCGACGACCTCCCCTATTTTCAAACCCTTCCTGGAAGGCATAAGCATGTTTCCCAGTTGCTACACATTTTATATGACTTTCACTATGATGAATAAAACAAGGTGAGTCAATTACACTAATGCAAACATTTTGTTTTGATCATATGTTACTTAATACTTACATGTTGTCCCTTATGTAAAATACCATCTTTGGTCCTTCAGGATCATCAAAATGGGCTTCCGTCTTAAAAACCACTCCATTGTTTCTACCAGATAAATATTTTCGATTCCGTTACTGATGATATGAAATATATTTATTAGTTAGAATTCATACCTATGGGAAAATTTCTCTCCTTGTAGCTCATGTGAGGGATTTCATGAATGCCTTTGAACTCAAAGTAAAGCTGATCGTTCAAAGGATCGATAGTGTGGATTTGGGTATCGCCAGTAGCAGTTATTGTGAATTTGGATTTTGCTGCGTTGAAACCTGAACGAGCACGGCTAACTTCTACAATAAAGATTTCCACTAATTTTCCCTCTTGCTTCTCTAGGCCTTTAAACCTATCTCCATATATATCATAGATGGTCATCTCCATCTTGATTCCCTGCATAAATTAAGTTCAACTAGCGAGTTTATATTTTACATTGTTGTTATTAGAAACTTGAGAGATGATGATTTTGTACTTACATGTTCATCTGCTATGACGTAAACATGTTGTGATCCTTTGCCGGTAACAAAGGAATAGAAATGATAGATCCTTATGATTTTCACTCTGAAATGCCAATGCTTGACCTTCTCGTTATAGACAACTTCACCAAGAGTATTGTAGTGTTCCATATTTGAAAGATGATGAATTCTTTCTTTGCGGTGAAATGTAAAGAAGACGATGGAGTGGAGATTAAATTGAGGGTTTATTAAATTGAATGCAAATGTCATGATGATCTGGTTTAGTTGTGGGATTTAAGTAAAGTGTAATGATGATAATAGGCGACTGTTAGTGTGAAAAGTTGTGTCTTTCAAATCGTTTAACTTGTAATTGGGCTAATAAATCTGAAAATTGTGAAGAGAAAGTCAGCGTTTGCCTATCAAATCACTCTTAAATGGAAGAGTTACAACTTTGGAAGCTGGGGTGATTAATCTTTATTACACAAATTAAACTACTCTTCATTTACTATCTCATATTTTTCTTAATGAATAATATATTTATTTCTTAAAGATTTACATAGTTTCATATATTTAGACTATCAAAATTGTTACACTTATCTAAATTGTTAAACGTTTTCTTAGTTTCATATATTTATTTCTTAAAGGTTTACATAGTTTCATATATTTAGACTATCAAAATTGTAACACTTATCTAAATTGTTAAACGTTTTCTTAGTTTCATATATTTAGACAATCTAACTACGCGGTTTCACTTAGTTTTTAAAAGTTATTTATTTTTATCATTTAAGTTTTACAAAGTTTTAAATTCAAAGCATGCGACTGTTGCAGTTAGAAGTCATGCCTTCTCGAGACCTCCATCAAATCAGCCTTAATTGCCGTGATAAATACAATCTTATCTCTTCTCCACTGTTGAGGAGAATCACTATTATAAAAGGGTTTATCAATTTGTCCAAATAAAGAAAAAGTTAATCTTACCCTAATCTCACCATGTCGAACTCTAACTTGGCTTCTCTCCCTCCTTCTATGCTTCACAAGAATCTCTCTAAAGTAGCAACAAACCATATCCGGGACTTTGGTAGTGCAAGAGTTGCATTGCCCGCCTTCAATCAAATTGGCAGAGAAGAATACTTCTACAAATCTGCAGATCTTATTCACTTCAGTGACTGGATTGATGAGGTTAATGCTGTCAGAACATACATGCTTAAGTGCTACCAAGCCGGTAATCCACAAGCCATCTACATGCAAGGTATGTATGAGGTCTTTGTCCTCCATTTACTTGATCAAGGAAGGGAAAAATTCGTCTTGCTGGTGAGAGGAGATTTTTGTTGGCCAAGTATGTTGATGATATGCTCAACTTAGCATTTAGTGTTAATGATAAAGGACTGCTTCACAACTTCCTACTTTTACACGTGATTTTGCTGATCAAATGAATCACATGCTCGCTACTGAGGTATCCTCAGGTCATTGGGGTTACGAAAAACCACAGATCTTTATGTCTCTATTGGAAAAGATAGATTCCAACATCAGTTATAATTGCTGGTGCTCTAAAATTATACCATGCAATCGTTGTTTCTGGCAGTGTGCAGTTTGGGACTTCTACAATGATATTCATTTGACCGTTTCTCATTGGCCAATTGAAGATTAGAGATGAAGTATTTTCGTGTGTTTATAAGTTGTTTATAAGTACTTTATGTAAAATACATTCTGAGTGTTTATAAGTTGTTTAACTTAATCTATAGTTTTTATTTATCAGTAACATAATGCAAATGAATAATTATTTTTATATGTCTTGGATTAACTATAATCAAAGTTGAATCGATATGTAATCATTAAATATATCAATAACATATTGTAAATGTACATGATACAATGAAAATTAGTTGAAGGTTTACTAAGTTGTATAGTTACAACAAGTGTGAATTAGTTCAACTTAGATTACAATTACACTGACACCAAGATATATAATTACACAAAGTTTCAGTAATGTTTATGAAGTTATGGACACTGGAGATCCGAATTTTAGGATTTGGGTCTGGATGGTCTGCGAAATACCCCTGGTTGCCTTGTAATTATTCGAGTTTCTTTCGGTGTTCTGATCTTTTACTAAATTTTTCTATTTAAATAAAGATTTATTCGATTTATTTGGGTCAAAAATTCGGGCAGGAGCATTTGGGAATAAAAAATTTTGAGCAGAAGCATTAGAGCATTTGATTCTAGTAAAGGAAAAGCTATGATATTTGTGTATTAATTGCTATATTGGCCTTTGGCATGGAGACATTTACTTGTAACCAAAAAAATTTCTTTTTTTTCCTTTTTCTTCTCTTCTTAAAAAGTTTTTTTTCCATCAACTTTGAATTGCTTTCAGTTTTAATCAAAACAGTTTTTGAACTTTGGATGTTACATTATAAAAATATAGATTTTTTTCTTAACTTAATATGATTTGAAAATTTCAAAACAAACATATTTTTAATAATTTTTATACAATATTTTATAAAACGAAATTTTAAAACTATACTATTATATATGTACGTATAGTATAGTTATATTTTATTTTCAAATAAGACATAATTTTGTTGTGTTTCATTATATATATAAACATAGAATGAAAATCTCTCTCTTTCTCTCCTTCTACCGTCGCATCCACAGTCATGTTTCAGTCTACAGCCACCGCTGTTCTCTCTCTCTCTCTCTCTCTCTCTCTCTCTCTCTCTCTCTCTCTACCGCTGCAGCCAACGCTTTCCTTCCCTCTACCGATGTTTCTTCTCTCCCTCCCTCTCTCCCTCCCTCTACTACCGCAGCCACCGCCCTCCTTCTCTACAGTTGTTCTCTCTCTCTCTCTCTCTCTCTCTCTCTCTCTCTCTCTCTCTCTCTCTCTCTTTCTCTCTCTGCCGTCGTAGCCACCACCATTCTTCCCTATACTAGCGGAGCCACCATTGTTTCCTCCTTATGTTATTGTTATAAATTAATTTTTCTGTCCTATATATTTAATAAATATAGTATAGTACAACTTCAACTATTATATTAACAAATACTCACGTTGAAAAGGAGAATATGGTCTATTTTCATACAAAATTGACACAGACATCAAGACATGACTATATTCTTAATAAATGGAGCTGCTATAAATATTGGGCAAAATAGCCCTTAAAACTATTGTGAAAGTAGATGACCTCTTGCAATATTAATGCCTCTCTATAGGATCCTTACAATTTTACTTATGGTTTTAGTTAGATTTGAGTCACAAACAAAATAAATTGAAAAGTGTAAGTTTACAGAAGATATTTTTAGATAAATAAAAATATAGTACTGATAAGTTCGTGGCTAGTGTCTCGTAAAAAAATAAATATGTTTTCTCTAACTTTGTTCTCCAAATTTCAGGTACATGCAGCTCCGGCGACGGTGGCTTGTTGCTCGGTGAAGATCCCAGCCGCTGGTGGTGGTTCGGCTTCTGAGTTCTTCATAGAACTAAAGTTAGAGCCGATCCACCTGCAGCATCGTCTGAGTTCTTCACGACGGGTGTTGACTTCAGGAGACTCAAGCTCCGGTGACGACTCGACTCTCTGACGACATGCGGCCTCCTCTGAAGGTATTTTTCTCTCTGTATGTTCCTGCATGTTCTTTGTATTTATTTGATGTCTAATTTCAATTTTTTCCCTGCATATTACCAGCGGAGCTTCCATTCAAGTTACCTCGGTGAGGAGTTGTTCTGCTTCGTTTTTCTTCTTCGCCGGTGAGGAGTCCCTGCATGTTACCGACGATGAGGAGTCCCTACATGTTCTTCAATCTCTAGTTAAATTTTTTTTAAAAAATATTATAATTTAATTTATAAAGGTTTAATAAATTTAGATTATTAATTAATTAATATTTTAATTTGTATGACTTTGATAAAATTTAATGTTATAATTTAATTTATAAAGCTTTAATAATTTAATATAATTAACTAATATTATAGATTAATTTATAAAGGTTTAATTATTTATATAATTAATTCATATTATAATTTGTTTGACAAAGAATTTAATATTATAATTTATTGCTTGAATTGAGTGTTACATGAGTTGCATTGCTTGTCTTCAGTAGGTCACCGAATTCAAACCTTCAAGCTTGTTAAAAATCATCCTAAGGACTCAAGGGTGATTATTCACAGACTTGGCGGTTGAACTCGGTGCGAACTCAAGACAAGATTGAACTCATTGACTTTGTGATTGTGCTGCTGTTTGTTTTATATCTGCCTAGTTTGTTTGTATAAAGTAAATTGATATGTCTGATCTAAGTTTGTTAAATTATTTTTATATGATTGCTTGAATTGAGTGTTACATGAGTTGCATTGCTTGTCTTCAGTAGGTCACCGAGTTCAAACCTCCAAGCTTGTTAAAAATCATCCTAAGGACTCAAGGGCGATTGTTCACAGACTTGGCGGTTGAACTTGGTGCGAACTTAAGACAAGATTGAACTCATTGAATTTGTGATTGTGGTGTTTGTTTTATATCTGCCTAGTTTGTTTGTATAAAGTAGATTGATATGTCTGATCTAAATTTGTTAAAATTATTTGAATATGATTGCTTGAATTCAGTGTTACATGAGTTGCATTACTTGTCTTTACTAGGTCACCGAGTTTAAGCCTCCAAGCTTGTTAAAAATCATCCTAAGGACTCAAGGGTGATTGTTCACAGGCTTGGCGGCTAAACTCGGTCCGAATTTAAGACAAGACTCAACTCATTGACTTTGTGATTGTGTTGTTTGTTTTATATCTGCCTAGTTTGATATATCTGTCTCGGTTAGCTATTTCTCTTTACTTATGTAACTTTATTTTATATTTGCTTTGCCTGAGATGATGGAGAGATCGTAAACAAGCAAGCATGATCAATGGAGAATCAAGTTAAAAAAATTGAAGCTCTAAGGTGAGTAACTTAATCTCTGGAAGTGGAACGTAGCTTAGGGTTTTAATTTGGTTGAATTGCGTTGGTTATCGGTAGGCTAGTTAGCTGTCGGATGACACATTTAAAGTTTTAATTTGGATGTGTACTTGCATAAAAAATTCAAAAGTTTAAAAAACAATATTAACAATTTTTAATTAAAATTTTAACAAAATTTAGAAAACCCTAAAATAGAAAAACCGCAAGACATGAGAGAGAGACCAAAAAAAACACCAGACCCTAGCCTTCTAGAACCGCAAAACCTAAGAGAGAACATGGGATCGAGACGCGACTCAGAAGATCAGACGTTTGATCTGAACTACGTCCCACTAGATAGAGTTGACTTGGAAACTCAAAATCTGATAGCTAGGCTTGTTGCAGAAGAAACAAACGTTGATCGGGTCGCTGAAGATGATGTAGCTTGCGTTCCTGGAAAGAAACAAGGAAGCAAAAGAAAGCTTATCAGTCTTGTCGATGAAACTGATGATTCTGATGTTGAGATAACTCCATCAACCCAAAAAACTAAGCCTCGCAGGAAGACTTCTTTTGGAACAGCCTCGAGGAAACCGATGTTGCAATCCACTATAGATGACTCGTCCTCATAAGCGTGTACGAAGTCTGTTCCTATGAAGTCTGTGATTCATGGAGGGAGAAGAAAGGTCGTGCCTACTCAATCGCCAAAAAAGAAGGTCGTGCTTACTAAGTCGCAAAAGAAGAAGGAGAAGGTCGTAAAGGACATACCGGACTTTGACGATGAACTCGACAATGAAGAAGAGGATGATGATGAAATCGGTGACGAGGAAAGGGAAGAGAGGCAAAGATCAGATGTGTGGACTGATTTTAAGGTGGTACATAAAGCCAGTTGAAAGCTGCATGCAATCATTGCATGAATAAGTATGCATGGCATTCCCATTCGCATGGAACCAGTGGGCTGAGAAGGCATGATGTAAAATGTATCCAAAGAATCGAGGAGGTCAACAACAACTCAACCCCGAGGGCAAATTTGTTCCTCGCAAGTATGGTCATGCTGTGTTTAGGCAGATGGTAGCTAAGACAATAGTACAGCATGATCTACCTTACTCGTACGTGGAGTATGAAAAAGTGAGAGACACATGGAAGTATTTGAATGCTGATGTCAAGACCATTTGTCGAAACACAGCGAGAGCTGATGTGTATCGATTATATGAAAGTGAGACAGACACACTGAAGAGGGAATTAGGGAGTCTTCCTGGATGTGTGTCTTTCACAACTGAGTTGTGGACATCGTTGAAACGGGAAGGATACATGTGTGTGACAGCACATTAAATTGATCGGTATTGGAAGTTCTACAGCAAGATTCTGGCTTTTTGTGCTCTACCTCCACCACATGACGGTATGAAAATTGCGGTCCGCTTCCTTGATACACTGAAAGAGTAGGGAGTTGATAAGAAGGTATTCTCTCTCACTGTAGACAATGCTACAAGTAATGACTCGATTCAAGATATTGTCAAATCCTAGCTAAATTTGAGAGATGATTTGCTGTGTGCCGGAGAGTTATTTCATGTTAGATGTGCAGCTCACATACTGAACCTCATACTGCAAGATGGGTTGAAGGTTATTAGAGACTCTGTGCACAAAGTAAGAGAGAGTGTTATGTATGTGTTAGGATCGGAAACGCGTGAAAAAATATTTGAAAAATGTGTGGATGCTGCGGGTGTAGAAGAAAATGGGGGGCTAATACTGGATGTGT